CATGATACGAAATTTGTCATAACCAAACTACCAAAGAAGAGGAAAATTATAGGGAGCTTACCTCAACTGACCACTAAATCAGAAATGACGAAAGCAGGAAAACCCAAAACAAAAGTTCCAGAAATGAAGTAAGCTCCACCGAAATTTCAGCCTTGAAAGTTCCCCACAGCACTTCCAAGAAGGTCTCAAACACACAGGTAATGAACAAATAAAAGAAGATTTTAAGAGAATAAATTTTGGCAACAGCTCCCCTTTTCTTTCAATTTTCGGCCAGCCCTAGGATCTCCCCGAAATGGGGTTTTTATAGCAGAAGAGGGAGGAGGAAGAATACCATCGCTCACCTAGGCGGTGAGCCGAGCCAAGAGAAGCGACAAACCTCGGTGAGGAGATGGCGACGAGAAGCGAACCGTGTGATTTAGGAATTTAGGTTTAGAGAGAAAAAAATAGAATTATATATATATATATATCAAATTTCATGTGATTTATCCATGTGCGGCGCCCTAGCAAAAAAATGGGTGTCCTCCCTAAGTAATTTTGACATTCCGGACGCTTCGGCGCAGTTCATTTTACCGTCAGAGGTCGCTTTGACGAATTCATCGATTTGTGTGTCAATTTTCTCGTGTCGAAAGTATGGCAATATGGGTGTCCTTTCCTACCAAAATTGGTATCCCGGAAGCGTTGGCGCAGTCCAATATGTCGTCGGAGGTCGTCCGGAGAAGTTCACATTTTGACCCCTCCTCTTGGCTTAATTGAAATCCGATTTCGTGCAATTTTGTGAATTTTGTGTATTTGGTGTGTGTATGTGACGAAAAAGTTGTGACGATGTTTTCTTAAGGCTTGGAGTCCTATTAGGAACTTTTCCCTTGAGCCTTCGCAAAATAACCCATAACCACTCGTTCATAAGATGATGGTCTTGTGCCAAAAATGCTAGACATCAAAGGAAAATAAGAATTGGTTGGAATTTCTAAAAGGGTGAGTCTCAGGGTATCAATTCTAATTTTCTAAGACGGTCAATAAGAACTCCTAGAATTAGATCCTAGGCTCTAAGGAGGAGAAGAGAAGACCTCACAAAAATGAGGTCAACAGTACTTAACTAACATTCAGTACAGCTTTTCATCCCCAAATAGACAGTCAGTCAGAGAGAACGATCCAAATATTGGAAGACCTGCTTCAACTTTGGATTCTTGATTTTGATGTAATCTGGGAAATGCACATATCTTTGATAGAATTTGCCTACAATAACAACTTCCAAACCAATATTAGTATGGCTCCGTATGAAGTCCTATATGAAAGGAAATACATGACATTTCTTTATTGGGCAGAAATTGGTGATAAAAAAAATAATTGGCATTGATTTATATGATGAAACAATTGAGAGGATCCGGCTGATTCGTAACTAACTGAGAGCAGTCAAAGATAGGCAGAGAAGTATTATGATGCTAAGCACCGAACAGTTGAATTTGAAGTACGGAAATTTGTTTTTTGAAGTTCAGCCCAATAAAAGGTGTTAAGCAATTTGAAACTTTTGGGAAGTTAAGCCCACTGTATGTTGGCCCGGTATGAAATCGGGGTGACATTTGGGAAAGTAGCTTACAAGTTTGCAGTATCAACAAATATGTTTGGGATACATAATATGTTTCATATCTCTTTACTACGGACATATATTATTGATGAGGCTAGCAAGCATGTTACAAACCCCAGGGACATTCAACTTGATGTGACCTTTATAAAAAAAACAAAAAGAATCATATAGATTATGATGTGAAGCAACCAAGGAGTATAGAGATTCTTTTAGTTCATGTATTAAGAAAGAAAAAGCTAACAAAATGCTACTTGAGAAAAGGAATCTGAAATGAGAGAAAGGTATCCACACCTTTTCATTTAAAGTATGAAATATATTCTTGTATTTTAAATTTCCAGGACGAAATTTTTGTAAGGATGAAAGATATTAATAATAGCCTATATAACTTTTTATTCACTTAATTATATAAAAAAAGAATTTACTTAATACGTTCACAAGTGTCGTAAAACAAACCCGCATCGCCCGTCGTAACTTAACGAGGATGTATTTCCATTATCTTATCCTCTCATTTCACACGAGAGAAAGAGAGCGTGAGAAACATAGGAAGAAGAAAAAAAACCATATAAAGAAGAAGAAGAAAAAATAACGAAAAGGAAGGGGGAGACAAAAGGCGCGCCTCACCTTTCATGCATCGCCAACGATCCAAGGTGCGACGAGCAAAGAGGAAGGGAGGGAGATCGAGCAATGATCTTTGCAGACACCCGAGCCCAACGTGTACATGAGCGACTGAGACAACTAATCAACCCTTCCTAGTGTGTTTATTTCTTGTGGGAGAGAGAAGGAGATTGAAACTTCCTATACCCTAACCTACAACTTGCGAGTTCCCCTTACCAAAGAGCAGCTCAAGCATGCATTCCTACACCTTCGACAGAGAGAACTGAGCAAGAGAGGCTTTTCCCGTGACATAACTTAACGACAGAAAAGAAGGGAGGAGACAAGTGGCTCCAGCAGGCCCTCACACAATTTTTATCGTTCAAGAGTGAGAAGCAAATCTGAGTGGTTCTCTCTATCTTGCGACAAGTTCTGCACTAACGAGAGTTTGAGTGACGCTCAGGAAATAGTTTTGCCAGCATGAGCCCTCGATTGAGGAAAAAAATTGCGTACATAAGACATACGCAGCGCTCCCTGCGTTGTCCAATGGCCGCTTGACAAATCAGCAATGTCGTTCCCATCGCCTTTATTCAAACACGACCCGTCGACACGACCCGCTCGGTTATAATCGAGTTATAACCGAGCAGTACAGGCGGTGTAACTGAGTGGTCTATTACCGCGGTACCGCTCTAATAATAGGGTTGTAACCTTCCTGTAACCTCAAGACGAATGAACCGCGCTTATAACGTCGCTGTAACTGAGATCTAACACAACGTCGTGTAACCTAGCAATATAAATTAACTATAACTGAGTCGTAACCGAGAGTTCATACCGCGCGTTGTAATCTAGCAGTATAACTGAGCTGTAAACGACACAGTAACCTACGTTGTCTGCTGTACCGAGGTTGTGTAACTCCCAGGTTACCTCTGCACCCCGCCCGACCAATGTACCTTCCGTGTAACGTTCCTGAACATCCAAAGCAAGGTACTGCGGGTTTGTAGCTTGGTTGTAATCTGTGAGAACCCTTCGCAATCACGGAGTCGTAAATTAATTATAATTGCATGATAATCTTCTTTAAAAAATCAGAGCGCGCGAATGCAGCTATTTAAGCAGCAGAAAGTTAGGGATTTCTGTTTTATTACATTTTGATGTTGAAGATGGACCGCACAAGGTGGCATTTCGTCTCTGACGGGGAAGGAGAAGATATATTTCCAGCCAACACAGAACAAGTCGATGTTAAAGTGGAGGTATATTAGTTGTATGTTTGTAGTCCTGTATTTTTTAGAGAAATAACTGTGTTTTTTCTGTCGGGATATCTTTGTTTCTTTGTGTGTTTAGGTCTGTTTATTTGGTTTTTTTGTTGGTGTGTTTCTTGTTGTCTTTTATGATGATTTCCTTTGTGTTTTGAGGTAGAGATCTTCAATTTTTATTAAAATGTAATCTGTTTTTAGGGTGATCTTATTTGTTGTATGACTTATAAGAATATTATGGATGTGAATGTTTGTAAAGTTGTGATTTTTGTTTTGTTTGCTATGATAGGGTTTATTATAATGTTTTTATTTGTTGTGTGTGTTTCTTATTTGTAGGCTTGTTTGTTGTAGTAAAATATTTGCAGGGTAGTTTAATAGTAGTTTAATATAGTTTTATATTTGTTTGCAGTTGGATGAGAGTGAAGCTAAATGTAGAGATGAAAGTGCAAATATTTTACTTGAAACGGTTGTCCACAATGACAAAGAAGCTTACGAAGTATATCGTGCTTACGCTCATCATATCGGATTTAGTGTCCATAAACAGCACGGCACTTTCCGGCCTAACTCCAAGAATCTTAAGACAAAAGACTTTGTTTGTGGGAGAGCAGGTTTCAAGAAAGAGTTGAAGGCCACACAAATTGTTAAATACAAAAGAGCGGACATAAAAAGCGGTTGTCCGACAATGATTCGTTACGCAGTTGATGTTGAAGGCAATTGGACAGTTAAAAAATTCATCGAGTCTCATAACCACTCCTTAGCAAACCCTGGTGATAAGCATCTCTTGCAGTCTAGTAGAAAGATAAGCGAACTGAATGCAGAGGTTCTCAAATCGATGACACAGTCAGGAATAAGACCTAGAGATGCGTTTAACTTTCTAGCCACAGAAGTTGAGGGAGTTAAGAAACTGGAGTGCACTAAGATAAATGCCTTTAATTTCATTCAAAGGGAGAGAAGATGTAGAATTGAAAATGGTATGTCAATGCTTTATTTCAACTTTTCACATAGAGACGTGCTGAGGATAGCATGTTTGAGTGGGACTTCGAAATTGATGAGAGTGGTAGGCTAAAGAGTTTTTTTTTGTGTGATGGCACTTTCAGGCATGATTATGATTGCTTTGGTGATGTTATCATTTTTTATACGAGCTACAGATTAAATAGATATAACTTATGTTGTGCTCCTTTTGTTGGTGTTAACCACAATTGACAGAATGTTCTCTTTGGCGTTGGTTTTTTGTCAAAGGAGACGACAGATTCTTTCAAATGGCTTTTTAAAACTTTTCTCCGTATTATGGGCGACAATCATCCAATTACAATATATACTGATCAGGACCAAGCAATGGGAAAAGTCATAGAACAAATCTTGTCAAATACACGACATAGATTATGCAAGTGGCACATATATATAAAATTTCCTACAGAGGTTCACTGAGGGTTAGCGAATAAAATAGTAGCTAATCTTTTTTATAAGTGTATGAGCAAATGTGCTGAAGAGGAATTTGATAACTCATGGGAGATGATGATTGAGAGTTGTAATCTACAAGAAAACGTTTGGTTAGATGAGATGTACAACATCAGAGATAAGTGGGCTACAGTCTTTAATAAGAATGTATTTGAAATGAAAATTTTATCCACCCAGAGAAGTGAATCAACGAATAATATTTGCCATGGTATCGCTAAGCCCACAAGTTCTATTACTGATTGTTTTTTGGGCCTTGAGCAAGTCATGAGAACATGAAGGCGTAACGAAAAGGATGAAGATTATAAGTCTGATTAATCTGTGATCACTCCAGTTTCTAAAAGCAGCCCTATATTAAGGCATACATCTGTTTTTTACTTAAGGAATCTCTATAATATGTTTGAGGTAGAGTTTATTCATGGATCATGTGGTCTTCAATTATACGTCTCTATGAATAATGAAAATAAATTTTTTATTACAATTACACGCCTTTATGAATTTTTTATGAACAATGAAAATGAAAATTCATGAATTTATAACTGCATATAAGCACTTCCAACAGTCACAAATGTGGAATGATGGTAAAGGTAGCCTAATATTTGAAACAAACATGCAAAAAATGTCATATCTATGCACTAATAAAGCCAAGGGAAATGAAGAGGCTGAGCAGTGCATGAAGGATTCAATGAAAAAAGGCACAGATAAAGGTTACATACCAATTGGGTTCAATCAAATTTATATATCTTGGCAAACAAAATTCGTATAAGCAGCAATAAATGTTGACCTTTCAAACCTACTGTGATTTCTCCAAAGCAAATTTACAAATGTCGTATGCAATCTCTGCTCTGAATAAATGCATTAATTCCTGCCAATCTTTTTTCTCTGCCCAATTTACCTTCTCTTTTTGAACAAGTGTCTCCATATATTTACAGACATAAACACCGCAATCATAATTATTACTTTGCACCGGTATTCCCCTGGTCATTACAACTGACCACTTAAATCAAATTATCCTCGAAAGCTTCACTGGTGCTCAATCTGTATATTTAAAGATGAGTCATTAATTGTATATCTAAAAATGCTCAATCTGTAAATAATTAATACTTACAATGCTTTGGGTGACGACCAAATGCATCCGGTTGGGTAATGAGTCATAAACTCTCAATTTACTCTCATTTAGTGTCCCAATAAGGAGTATCCAATGTTGATTATTTATTATA